CAAATGACATGTTGCTTTACTCCTGTCTTTTTCTTAAGATTCCATTTCTTTGCTCAGGCTGTATACAAAAGGCTTCTAATTACCAAATTGCCTGGTCTTGGCGTAAACAAATGTTGGCCCCCTCTCTGGCGGCCGACATTGTAAAAAAAGCCTGGATGCTGTTGGCATGGTTACTCTGGTCTTATCACTGATCATATGATTAGTCACGTCTTCCATTAGCTTTGGGCTGGCCGCTCCGCCACGCCGTCGCTCCAGGCAGGATGTTTGTGGGCCGGGCTGGTTTGATAAGGGCAACACGTACCCTCGACTTTGAAAAAAAATAAAATCTAAATATGTGGCGTGTCATTTTCCCAAAGAAGTGAGAGTCATTGACCTCACAGCGTGCATACTTCATGATGAGTCGGTGCTTTGTCTGAGGATCGGAGCAAGAAAGAGGAGGAAGAGGAGGCTGAATGTTAAATGGTGACTTGTAATGAACATGGCAGTTAGATGGAAAGCTTCCGTTAAACAGGACAAATGGATCAATACATGAAGGAAAGAAGGCTTCTAAACTCTGCATTGCAAAAAGGGATGAAAAATAAGTCAAACAATGCTCAAATTTGGCAACATGTATCGTATTTTGAAGATTTAAGATACATGAATTTTCTTGTTTTAAACAGATAAAAGACTTGTCTCCCTTGGAATTAGAAAGAGCAGCAACAGTTATATATATAACAAAAAAAGACTATTTTAAGACAGTTACAATGTGCTCAAAAGATGAAAACGCAATTATTACTTGAAAAATAAATTATTATCTTATGTTTTATAATTTTTTGCAGTGTGCACTGATGTCACTTTAAAGCAACAGTCATCAAGTATTTGTTTTATCGTAGTACAGGCCAAATACATAATGCATCAGTCAGAATAGAATATACTTTATGTCAAATTCATCCATCCATCCATTTTCTTCCCCTTAATCCATTCCTGGGTTGGAGGGGTAGCAGTCAGAGCTGCACCCAGTACACTTAGCGCCAGCCCCTCACTGATCCTCCTGCAGGTGGTGAGTCCACAAGAGCTGAGTTCTTTCAGCGGGGGCTTCGGGCAAAGTGGGCTTAAGTGTCTTGCCCAAGGACACAACGACAGCAGACATCAGTGGGAGTCGGTGAAGAAGGTGTACTTTATGTCAAATTCAATTCAACATATTTCTGTTTAGCCCTAAATCACAACAGCTGGATTGGGCCACACTGTGTGGAGGGTGAAGTTTCCCCCACCACCCAAATCATTCACCATGAACACAATTGTCCGGCAAAGGTCCTTATGTACTGCACTGTGGTGACCACTGATCCTGTGAGAGGGCTTGGCGGCATTGGAGGAAGAAATGTTCTGTATCAAATTCCCCAATGTGGGACGAATATCTTACTTTACCTTACACCACCTGAAAAATCATTAGCAGTGAGTCTGAAAGTCAAAATGGCATAATCCACACATCTCCTGGGGTATCAGAAACCATTATGCAAGACTTTCATAAATGTGTTTGAACATTGGTGTTGATGCTGGCACAAAATTGGAATTAATGCTATTTTCTTTGGTTTTAAAAGACAGAAAAGATAGATGGATTGGCGAGTTCAACACAGAACATTATCAGTGGGGAAACGATGGCCAAGAATATTTGCGTCCAGATCCCGTCCGACCTCTGAAGCTAAGCAGAGAAGGGCCTGTTTAGTCCTGTGATGGGAGACCACCGGTAACACCGGTGCCAAAGTGGGGCGGCTGCAGCTGTGAAGTGCTAAACTGTCATTGTGTCCTTAGGCAAGACAATTCACACCCACAAATGGTTGGTGATGGTCGGACGGGCTGATGGCACATACTGGTTGCCTCAATGACATGCAAAGTGTCTTTTCTGTCCAAAAAAGCGTCATACAAAACCGCAGGAGTGATTTTATTATTATTATTAAGATTATATGGACACATCCTAGAGTGTATGAAGCCAAAAACAATTCCATGTTTTCAAAGAGGATACAATGTTTTACCAGCTGAAAAAGTCATCTGCGCCTCGTATGTGTCCTTTTTTAGTCTGTTTCAAAATCTGGACATCTGTTTTCTGCGTCACACCTAATTATGAGCACTCCCCTTCAAAGCTTTGCTAAACGCCCTCCTCAGCCTCCCCCTGGCCTCCTCCTCCTGTCCCCTCCTCTGTCCTGTGTCCTCTAAGGCTCACTGGCCTGGCACACACCCAGAGTCCCTCCATTTCCTCCGTCGCTGATAGAATTGGGCAAGAACAGAGCTCAGAACATTCTTTTCTCATGATTCGTAAGTGGTACCAGTGGTTGTTCAGCGTTCTCGGGTGACTTGCTGTAATTCTGTGTCCAACAGGCTCAGGTGCAGGACTCTGGGATCAGGTCACTTGTGTTTCGCACCCGGCACTCGTTTCTTGTGGATCCATACAGTGAATGTTTCTGCTCTACATACTTGGAAATGAGTACTAGACAGAACCGAAAGTTGAAACAATTGAGAAGACGTGGGCTGTATTGAATGATCTTTTTGATTAGGGATGCATCCAGTGTTTTATGTCCAATACCAGTCCTGATAATCCAGCTTCTGTCCTGGATCATCTTTTATGAATACATGCGATTTCATACAAACACAACTGCCAAACAAGCCAACCACCGGCAGACTTGTGGGCAGAACTCTGCGAAAGTAGATGGAGACACCGTTCCCATGGCAACCGGACCTTCTTGTTATCAGGCGGGACTGGAGTGGAGCCGCAGGGCCAGGATCTACAAAGGGCCCCAACACTCCATGTCCGTCTGCCTGCACCCCCCACCCCAAAGCTCCTCTTCCATCTTCTGTGTTTCATCATCCAAATAATAGATTCATCACAGAAATAAAGTCATGCTGCCAGACCCACAGTGACTAAAGAGAAATCTGAACACACTTTTATTCAAGCTGGTTTTATTATACTGCTCTGAAATCAAATGAAATGTGTGTGTACAAATGCTTGGTAAATTGATTTGGAAGTGGCTATTTAAATCTACCTCACAAACCATTTGTCACATCGCTATAGTATACATTTGTTTCCATTTTTTATTTTATTATTTGTATATGTAGTCTACAATACATATTGATATTAGTTCATCTTAATTAGGTATGCTTGAATACAAAGTGAGCCAGGCACACCGCAAACGCCAAGTCAGAGATGATACATAATGTCAGACATGTGGCCTGGTATGAGCCGGTGAAGAAGAAAAGTGGGTCATGCATAAGTACATACTTTTACAAGCACAACTCAAATCAGATTTTTTTTATTGCCATTGTAAGTAAAATGGAGGTAATAATCTAGGAAACTGTTTTGGCTCTTGGTGCAAACAAGTTATTAAAGTAAAAATGGCCTGCATAAAAATATATAGTGCAGTGCGTACACAGAATAGACATCGAAACAATAATTAAACACTGTCATAAAATCCTCAAAACAATTTGGTTGTTACTAAAGTCCTCACATGAATGTACAGTGGAGAGGACCATCTTCACTCAGCCAATCAGCTCTCAGAGATATTATAAGTCACATGCAGGATTTCTTCCTTGTAATTTTCTTATTTTCTTTGATAGGGAAATTTGTCCTCTGCATTTGATCCATCCTTTGAATGCCACAGGGTCTTTTTCAGGAGCAGAGGTCGCCACAGTGCAGCACCTGAAGACCCACCTCCAGATGTTCATGATCATCTTCAGATTATAGAAGTGTTTTCCTTGAACTTGGTTCACATCTTGACACATACTTTATCTGAATGTGTCTACTCAAAAAAACCAAAGTCCATATTTATTCCATTGTTCATTGACCAAATTGTAGAACGAGTATAATTAGTGAGATAAGCATTAGGCATACAAGACGACCACTAACGGGGACTATCTCTGCCTGATTGAGTTTGGCGCTGTCCCAGGACAGCACCAGATTGGACGACTTCAACAAAGCACATTGCCAGTCTCCAAATGTCTGCCAACACTGGCTGCTCTGATACATACTGTACACAATAATAGACCTATTGAATAAGAATAGGATATAGAATAAAGGCCTGAAATAAGTAGAATTATCCTGGTATCAGATGTTTTTGAAGATATTAACAGATTTGCCAACATCTGCCAATTTAAAGCTTAGAAAAGCAATGTGTCACACCCCTGTTTCAGAAATGATGTTGGGTTTTGCATTGTATTCTATCAAAATTCAAGCAAACTCACTTTTTGCAGTACAGAGTCAGAACCGCAATACATTTTCTCACGTTTTTTGTCTGCTTGTTTTTATTTAGATCCCTAATAACTACTGAAATATAGAGTAGCTATTCTTTCTGGGGTCTATGTACTCATCATCAAAATGGACAAAAATGAATGTACAAATAAAATCCTAAAACAAAATTGCAGAAATACAAACTGTAAGTACACCCACACACACACACACATTGTACAGTAGATGGTCAATCGTGTCAGCATCAATGAACAATTTTCATATTAGAAATTATACATGTCTATTTCAGCCCATGCCATTTTAGTTTTTGTAATTGTGGTACCTAAGTGTGTTCACCTGCCGAGGGACTATACATGGAATGTAGCTGCAGCTAAATCTGGTGCAAATCATCTCTTCTTTTGTAAAGCCTAATGGTTGTTTACATTGATCCAAACTAAACTAAACTAAACTAAAATTAACACACAGCAACATCAATAGCAGCAGCAAAATCAATAACAATGTAAATTTAACCATTTGTACATAACATTTTAAGCATTTATCCATTCAAATAATCAAATACAACTCCAAAAATACAAACCCAAACTCAATTCCATTCCCCGGTGAACGGTGACTGACTGAACAGACCTCCGTGGACAGATGACATGTGTGGGTAGAGGGTGAGGATCTCTGGGGGCACAATGTAGATGGCTTCCTGGGCTTGGAGCCAGAGCGGTACCATCCAGCTCTGATGTACCCAGACGCTGTAGCGACAGAGGGGATTAGCACGCCCGGCGTAACATAAAAGATCATGTCTGCGCTCTCGCAAAGGTACGAAGAGGATTAGGCTTCTGTCTTCGGGAGTTTGGCTCCGACACTGAAGCATGTTACTTTGCTTTGTGTGGGAAAGAAAGGTGCACAAGTCCAATTGTTATTGTCAGGAATTGGCAATGGATGTGTGTCTGGAGGGTGAAATGGCATTTGGAAGATTTTTAACTAAATATTACGAGTGAATGTGGAAAAGGGGAGGAAATTGGGGTTCTTTGTTGCACAGAAAGCTCGACTAACCCTTGCCTCATTTCCAATCCTAACCGATACCAAAGTAGCTTCCAAGCCTAAACTTAACCTTGAAACTAAAATCATGACAACATGACATTGAAGCATGTCCCTCTGCCCTGGATGAAATACCAATATTTTAGTCCAATGGAAAAGTCATAAAATTATTTCACAACACAAGAAGCTGTCATGATGCAGACTTTTTGACTATTTTTTACCTGATTTTGCTATAAAAAAATGTTTTCTTGTAGTTTGAGTTTGCTTCCTGTCTTGTAGATTGTCTGTCCCCGCCCTGTGTCTCCCAGTTTATATTTATTCCCTGTGCTTTTCCCCACTTGTTATCCGTCCACTATCTATACCTCATTTATTCCTAGCTTGTTTTTAGTTCTGGACTTTTGTGTTTTGCCGTTACCTTGGATGAATTATTGAACTAGACTTAAGTTTTAGTCCTGCATTTTGGGTTCCTTTTTACATAACACCAAGTGACAAAAGGGGCATCTAAAACAACATCTAAAACTGTCTTAAAAGAGCCAAATATTGGAACAACTCAGAGAAAATACCATGTGGAGGCCCATGATGAGAGAGGGATGCGCTCCCAGAGATAGACACGGAAGTTTCCAACATGTACGCTTCGATTCTGATAAGAACATGTGAAACGTCTTTTCAGCATGACCTAAAAAGCGCTATTTAAAACCGATGTATTTTTATTATTATTCATATGAAATGTTTGTGTTGTTGGCCATGGGACACACTTCGAAGACAAACAGAAGAATCTCAATGGGTTTTTGTTGGTCAAACAAAAGCTATGAAAAAAACAAAACAAATAAAAACACAACAATGTACTTTTGAGAGATTTATTTTTCTCAACGGGACGCAAAAAAAAGATGAATAACATGCAGAAGAATTGTACAAAACATGCTTCATTATTCATCATGGATTATCATTCCTCCTCCTCTTTGCATGTCGGGGCGTCGTGCCGTATAAACTATTCAGTGTAAATGAGATCTGTGTCCTCCACATTGTAGTGATGCATGAATACTGCATGTAAATATATGTAGCCACTTACTACACACTTACAGCACAGTTACTGCACAGTGACGCTAAAGGGACTGACACAATCACAATAACTGCAAATTTTACATGTAAAAAGTTCATTATGTCTTCCTTATTTCTTCCTTCTTTGAAAAAAAAAAAATGAAATGAAATGATTCTCTACTGTTGTGAATTCAAGAATGAATTTAATTGGATTATATTTATGTTCAAGACTTAGAAGGTTCTTTTATTAAGAGAAAGAGTGTAAAGAAGCTAGTACCGCGTCACGTGTCAGGTAATTAAGCAGTACTAACTTCTGTACATTATTTCTCTTATAAAATAACAGTAGGTCAGTTGGCAGATCGTTGGTCTTTGGACCTAATGGTCGTTGGTTCGATCCCACCACGACCCATGTCATCTGCTCCCACTGATGTCTGCTGTTGTTGTGTCTCTGGGCAAGACGCTGTACCCCACTTTGCCTGCAGTCCGTGCTGAAAGATCAAGGGCATAACTGTGTTGAAGGAGCAGCCATCTTCCCGTGGACCCACCACCCGCAGGAGGATCAGCGAGGGACTGGTGCTTTGTGAATTGGGTGGCAGCTTTGATTGCCACTCCCCTGACCCAGAAATTGATATTTAAGGGATGAAAATGAATGAATGAATGAATGAAAGGTTGATCACCTTTTGGAAATAAGAATGGAGCTTGATTTGAAGGGCACACACATGACCAAGTCTAGGATTGTGTTATTGGTGATGGTAAAGAAGACATGAGCAACGTTTTTCAGAATGCATGTGATTTTAAACGAGAGGAATCAAGGTCCTCCTCCCTCTTATGGCGTTACACTAGTCCGACCTAAACACGGAAATATAAAGTGGAAAATCACTGAGTTATACAATATCCATAGTACATTATAGTATATCAAGCACAATCATTCACATGCCCCTCAAAGTGCTTCAAAAAAACTAGGGACAAAAAACATTCAATTCAAACACATTAAAACACATTGAAAACAAAAGTCAATGGACGATATTACTTAAGCTTTCTCAGACACATTTAGACAAATATTCAGGACCAGATCTGGAGCTAATGGCCTTGTTCTGTGGTGGGACTTCCGGGGGCCAAAAAGATGGGATCTGGTTGAAAAAGATTACCTGCTAGCTTCCTGAAGACAACCTTTTCTTCCGCTGCACGTGCTTGGGTCCTTGATGATCACCTCTCAGTTGCTCTGTGACAAATCAATACTTTTCTTTTACAATCTAGCATATTTAATAATAATGCATCGGTTTTATATAGTGCTTTTTTGTTTTTTTTGTCACTCAAAGACGCTTTACATGTCTTTATTCATTCACTCCATACACGGTGGCGATAAACTACTACTGTAGCCACAGCTGCCCTGGGGCACACTGACAGAAGCGAGGCAACCAGTATGTGCCATCGGCCCCTCCGACCACCACCAACCATTCACACACACACCAGACTCATTCTAGGCAATGGGGGTGAAGTGTCTTGCCAAAGGACACAGCGGCAGTTTGGTACTTTACAGCCGCAGCTGCCCCACTGTGGCTAGTGTTCCCAGAGGTTAAGTGTCTTGCCAAGGATACAACGACAGCGGGAGTCGATGGTGAAAGTCAGGCTCGAACTCACGACCCTCTGGCTCAAAGGCCAATGCTCTACCACTCTACTGTCGCAGTATTTACAATATTACTACAGATGTTGCTACTACTGCATATGTCAACTAATAACAACCACAGCCATTTACTTTTATGGGACTTATTCATGTTTGTTTCAGTCAAGGTGCTGTTGCTTTGACGATCTCCATATTCACTGAGAGACACGGGTCACAACTCTGTTCTTGTATCGGTCTCACATTGTTTAGTAATAAATGTACATTCATATTCTGTATATATACAAATTAAGAATGTCCAAATTGTTTTTATTTTCCTTAAACTTTAGTATTAGTCGGGTTCCGTGCACATAATTTATGGTATGTTGGTTTAAAAAGTTTCAGTTTGAGGACTTGTCATAATTTAAGAACGCAGCATTTAGACAGAAGGAACGGGGGGACGTGTTTGTTACAGATATTAGGGATGAACCTAAACCACTCCAGGTCTGTTTTTCATGGGGGGCAGGAAAAAAAACAAGAACAACTTTCACATAAAGTATTCTTTAGCTGGGGTACCTAACTTTAAAACCACAAAATGTATCTATGTAATAAAACATAATACAACATATTATTGCTTGCTCTCCAAACCGTTTCTTTATATCACAAGTATGTATTTTGGGTCTTGTCACATATTGAAATCATCTTTTTCAGACCGAAAAGTGAAAAAGAGAGGACCACCCTCACTCAACCAATCAGCTACAGAAGATAATATATTTTTAAGATGAAGACAGCCTGTTGTGTAAGTTGTTTGCAAAATTTTACTCTTTCTGTCAGAGGAATTCTTTAACTTTGTTTTCCTTTGAACAATCCCTTAATTCTTTCATTCCAAAAGCAGACGGCAATACAATGTAACCGTTAGTCTTTCCAGCGCATATTGCCAAAATAATCCAAAAACAGACCTTTGCGTTTAATTCCGCCTGACCCTTTGAATGCTCCTCAAAAAAACTTGTTATCTGTTTCTCAGCGTTCGCTTCGCCGGCTCCAAATACGCCATACGATATCAGGGTGACCTCTCCTCCTCTGTGTCTTTGAAGCTGAATTGGGACAGTAAACACATCCCCTCCTCGGTGATGAATAATTCAGTGCGATTGCTGGGGATGCGAGCAGCTGTGGGGGTCCGGCAGGGGGGGTACGGGCTGACACTTCGGCGGAGGCTTCCTGCTGGTTTGGCTGTCCGGAACATTGTGTAGATTTCTAATGTCCTTATAGAAGGCGCCTTTTTGAACGCTTGGAACTGTCTACAAGTGTGATGGGAAATGTCTGTTTGAAATCACTGCTCGGGCTTGTTCTGGCTTGTGGAGGAAAAGGGTTGTCTAAAAAATAGGGTGATCTTTTTAGAACCTTTTTTTTAAGTCAAGGCAAATGGATGTATAAAGCACCTTTCATCCTGAAGATTCTTGTAAAAGTAAAATGCAGTGAACAAACAAGACCACAACATTATGTATTCATGTATTTGAAACACATAACATGTTTTCTTGTGCATACGTGTAAGCAAGACCCCAGTGATGAAGCTAAAGCGGAGGTTCAGACTGGAAAACAGGAAGAGCTAATCTCAAAGCTTTCCAAGTCAGAAGAAAACACATTGAGACGGCATGTCATGAGCATTTCCCAACATTTTACTACAAGACCATTTTTTCTAGTTGTGAGGAAAGAGGAAAGTTAATTTTTATAAAGTGCTTTTCAGGACACTCAAATACGCTTCACATGTCATTATTGTCCATACATAGTTGTTACCTACTACTGTAGCCATAGAGTAGCTGCCCTGGGGCACATTGACAGAAGTGAGGCAACCATTATTTGCCATCCATGCACACACACATCAGACTTATTCTAGGCAATGTGAAGTGTCTTGCCTACGGACACAACAACAGTTTGGCACTTTACAGCCGCAGTCGCCCCACTTTGGCACCTGCTGTTTCCAGAGTTCTCCCATCACAGTACAAACCAGGCCCAGCCCTGCCCAGCCCAGCCCATAGCTTCAGAGGTCTGACGGGATCTGGCTTTTGCAGTAAAGAGTAATGAGTAAAGTTAAAGTAAAGTGAAGACTTATGCAGTACCTCGTCAAAAAATAAATAATATGAATCCTTTAAAACCTCCAGACACGAGAAGAACATGGAAACTACATAGGGGAAAAGTCCCTCGTGGCCTGGGACCGAGTAAAAACTCTGATCCATTAGAGTGACGTATTCTCGCCACCGCACACATTGCCAAGCTGACGATCGGTGGCACCGCGGAGACTGCAGCCTGGCGAAGGTGCAAAGCCTTCGAAGTGGCCCTCTGCAAAACCACCGCCAGCTGTACGCTTTTAATAGGAGCGGCTTTGTGGACATAGCAGTTGTGTCCAAGGCACTTATGTCCGACTTTTTAATGCGGGGGTGCAAAGCTTAATTGGCGCACGGCGGCGAGTGGCTCATAAAAAAACAGCCATAAAAGTAATAATGGTTTTGGAGAGGACGGACGAACAAAGAAAGCAGATCAATAAAAAGCAGGCCTGATTATGCCGTTGTCATTTGACAAACGCAAATGGCGAGAATGTTAAAAGCGCTGCGGAATTAAACAGCTCCATTGTCTTCAAAAGCAAGCACCAAAGAGCAATTTGAAAATATAAAAGATCCAAATCGCCAAAGTCTAATTTACAACGCCACCGGCACAAAGCGTCCAAGCGTGTGTGCTCGGATAAACCCAATCAGCTAACTGCAGAGCCAAGCACAAAACAAAGTGAAGGCGACGGAAAGTTCAGACAAAAGCAATTTATGTCCAGTGATGTCCCGAGGTAGCATGCGCCTTGCTCCGCTTTCATTCGTTTGTGGTGTTATGGAGAAGCACGTAAGCGAGGGGTTTTGTGGAGGGATATTGACTAAAAATATCCTGGAAACCCTTCTTTATCATGTTTGAACTGACTGGCCACATGCAGTGTGTGGATGAGATATTTTCATAAAGGGAGAAATTGGTCCCACTGATGTCTGCTGTCGTGGTGACACAGCAGACATCAGTCAGAGAAAGAGCAAGGCAGTGTTGTCGCTGATTATTCATCCAATAATAATCAGTTCTACAAGCTCAAGAAGTTTTGCCCATTCATCTTCACAAAATCAGGCTCTGTCAGATTAGATTGAGAGCATTTGTGTACATTCTAACGCATTCATATGTTTCATTCCAGCTCTGGTTTTATGTTTTATGTGGAAGATAAGGACGCTTTGACACTTCACAGATTCATAAAAGTGCTTTTCATACAATTAACAATTTGGTTAAAAACAATCCCACATGTTTGACCGCCCAAAGAGAGACAAGTTCTTTAACAGAAAGTAATTTTTGTCCTAAGTTTCAGATCCTCATTGCTGTTTACAAGGGAAAAATATGTACAAACTGTAACCACTTGTTTCATACTTCAGTTCTAATCTGAAAAAGCTAAGTATTTGTCAAGGATGATAAACAACACCTCTGCAAACTTTATATTGAGAATATTCTGGTCTGAGTCATCGGTCATATTGTCGGCCATCTTCAATTCAACATCTCTGCCCTCAGATCAATGGAGTTTGTGGAGTGTAATATTTTGTGTTTTAATATTTTGTGTTTTAATATTTTGTCTTCTCTCACAATAAAAAAATAATAAACTGACTTTTCATCTACATTTCTCTCTCCCCAAACCACAGGTGTTTGAGCCTCAACTAAAACTGCAAAATTGCAACTGTGGGGCGACAGTGGCTCAGTTGGTAGAGCATTGGCCTTTGAACCTTCTCCACCGACTCCCACTGATGAGTGCTATTGTTGTGTTCTTCGGCAAAACACTTAACCCCGCTGAAAGATCAAGACAATGCCATTGAGCGCCCATCCTCCTGTGGACTCACTACTGAGTGGCTTCTCTGGCCACCCCCCCGACCCAGAAATGGATAAAGGGGTAGATGGATGGATGGATACAACTGCAAAATATCATGAATGTCCAGTTCAACCTCATCCCCTCACAAAATGCTCTGTGTTGAATCTGTTATCTGCTGTCTGTTGCTGCATAGAGCAGCGGAGGTCTTCTCTGCCTTCTAAAACCCATTCATCATCTTTGTGAAGCAGAGGTTCCCAGGTCTTCACTTCAGATTCAGTTCGTCATTTGCAGTAAAACCAAATTGAAACACATTTTACCAAGTTCCCAGTGATCACCAGACTAGTACGTTGATAAAACAAAGTAAAAAGAACAGGAATCAAACAGGCTTGAAAAGTGCATGAAACAATTGTCACTGTGAAATCGAACAACAAAAACATTTGAAAGTGCTTTGTTTAAACTCATAACAGTTTGTGGAAAGAAACCATTAGCAAAATTAAATGTTCTGCATCTCAGCAAACATTATCTTCGTCATTATGTCTGACTGTACAAAGCACACTGCCCACTACACCGCGAAAAGTGATGAATAAGAAGTCAAACATTGCTGAATTCTGCACATGTTGACTGCCTTAAAACAAGACTTGCCAATGGAGCAAAGCAAAATGATCTTGTTTTAAAATATACTGCAAACGTCTTCCTTGGGATGAAAAATAAAGCATCAATTCTTGAAATAAGACTAAATGGCCTTGTCCCATTGGCAAATTGCGTGTTAAGATGGTCAGAATGTACTCAAATTAAGATAAAAGCCACTCTTTTCAAGCAATTACTACACTGTATTGTATAACTTTTTGCAGTGTATTTACATTCACCATTCACCAGTCGTAAAAATAATGCAATTGGGAGAATAATGATTGTTATTTAAAACTATTTTGATTCAATGCAATTTATTTTTGTACAGCCCTAAATCTCTGAGGACTTTACAAAGTTGTCTATATCTCAACAGCAGTTCAGAGAATCAAACAGTTAAAACATACTGCAGGAAAAACAGTAACGAACACATAGGGGCATTTGATCCATAGAGAGCAGGATGACCAATGTCTATAAAAGTTAATAAATGTGATTGAAGGTCCTGAATCATCGCCGTTCTTAGTCCCTCCTGGAACAACTATTCATTCTGTCCATATAGGATATGCTGCTTATATTTAAACAGTCATAATAATCATTGTAAATATTAGTCTGAAACCCACTGCGAACTGCATCGAGCACTTATCTAAAGGGTACTTATGTGTTTATTCTCAAGAGTGTAATTATAGTTTTATACTTCTGTCGATGTTGTTTTCAAGCATAAAGACTTGAGTTAGTTGCCAAGTACTTACGACAATATATCTTGTTTTGAGCACTCTTCTTGCACCAACTGTTCAGTAACGTTGCTGCAACACTGAAATTCCTATTCCCCCACCACAGAACACAGATGTTCACGTTTATTATCACAGTCAAATTGAGTTTGTTATTGCTGTATGCTTACTTTGCAAACACATCCTAATCACTTGAATAGTTCATATGCAAAAACCATAGACCTATCTCCTTCGTTCTAACTAATGGGTCAAAAATTGGGTTTTCATGGAGTTTCATGGTCCCGTTTTGTCACATGTGGGTTTTAAGAGTCAAAGTTTCGTGCAAAGTTTAGTTTAAGCAGTCAACTGCGCCTGTGAAACCACAAAGCTAATGTTTTCATAGCAGTCCCCGGCTGCTGACGTAGGCTGATGACGCGTCCTGTGGCCACTCTACACTCTTACACTGGTCTGTCGGGTTGATAATGGAAATAATAAATTTCATTCAATGCATGTATCGTACTGTATTTAATATGATTAACAATAGTGTGTTCAAACAAAATATTTAATTAGATTGATTTTTTTCCCCATTTTCCATTATCAACCCGACAGACCAGTGTAAGAGTGTAGAGTGGCCACAGGACGAGTCATCAGCCTACGTCAGCAGCCGCGGAGGCTGCTATGAAAACATTAGCTTTGTGGTTTCACAGGCGCAGTTGACTGCTTAAACTAAACTTTGCACGAAACTTTGACTCTTAAAACCCACATGTGACAAAACGGGACCATCAACATCTCGCCTCAAATTGCATTAAAAGTGACATTCGTGTCTTGATTTGTTCGTATTTCAACTTTTAGCAATTCACGGTCCGCCATCTTGGTATGCTTCGGCCGAGACGCGCATGCGCAGGTTTGCATTACATCATAAACAGCTGAGGCAGTGCATCTCTTCAAGACAGTGTATCTCGGCGTTACACCGGCACGAGTGACTTCAAAAATTAAACAGGCTGGTCCAAAAAAATGCACCCCCCTCAGCATTGACACACATGTA